GGTGAAGAAAGAGAGGAAACTGCCTCTGAAAGGATCCTTTGAAATGGTAGCAGTGGCTGGGAAGCAGTAAATGGGAGGCACTGGGAAAAGGAGGGTTCAGCTGGAGGATGTGTCTCCAGATCCACCACAGCCTCGCCTCCCAAGTCAAAAACCACTTTAAGGAAAGGTGGAATGAATGTTACCAATGCAAAAATAACCCTAAAAATATCAAGAGCACGCCTTAGGTAGCACTTATTGTATGAAAGGAATGCTTCCTCTTCACCCAGAGAGACTTCAGAATTACACAGATGGTTCAAACACATCTATAGTATTGGTAGTAATTTAGAAATCTCTCTGGAGGAAAACAAGGTTTTAGCCTTTTTTTTTCTTTCTTTCTTTTAAATGGCAGCGAGCTGAATTTTAAGGTGGAGTGAGTTTATTTCTGTCGTGGCTGACGCAGAGAAAGCTCCATCACCCACAGATAATGGCAGATGGTGAGCCGTGCCCAAATCCATCAGGCACAGGCCTCAAGTGGAGGTTCAGAGCGGGTCTGGGGATGGCATTTCTCAATCAAGTGGCAACCAGGATACAAAAATCCACGTGCTCCAAGCACCTCTGTGAGTGGCAGAGAAGCCTCTGAACAGCCCAGGGGACAAAAGATAACACGGGGCAGGAAAATGTGCGCTCAGTGACGGACTGAGGGCTGGTTTTATCCCAACCCCTGCAAACCCACTGGTACATCATTAAAGTGGATGAACATGGCTCAACAAAGCTGATAATCCCGTGCCCACGGTGCTGTTGCAGAGGGTAAAACGTTTTCTGGAGGTGGTGGAGGGCACTCTGAGGCACCATATGGTCTCCTGCAGCCCTTGCTCGGCGCCCGGGCTCGTGCTCTCATGTGACACGCCATTAGCGAGTCACACGGAGCAGAAAGCAATTTTATGGCCAGATCCTGCTCTTAGAAGCTATGATGACTAAACTAGCTAATCAAATCAGCATAAATTTGCAAACACCGTTTTAGCAGCTGCGGCCGTAAATATCATCAGCAGAACGGGAATAATCGCGAGCGCGCACACGAGGAGTTGAGTAATGGGCTCCCAATGGGCGTCAGAGCCATCAGCCGCTGCCTGGCAACTCGGGGAGGGGGCGAGGGGGCCACGCTGATGAGCCTGGAACAGCAGATGCAGCTATCACGACAAAGCAGCGAGAGCACACACACCAGAAAAAGGAAAAAAAAGCAAAAAAAAAAAAAAATCATTTATGGAGACAAACGAGCGTGGCGCGTGCCCCGTTCCCGCCCCACATGTGCGTGCTCCATGTGGAGGGATGTGTTTCAGCGTTCCCAAAGTGACTCATTTGGCATTTTCCAGGGACCTGCAAGAGGCTCCCCGCACACACGTTCCCGTTTTGTCAACAAGCCATAAAAATAATCAGCCGAGGTGAAATTCGCTGCGAACACAGACACCGGGGCTAAATTTGTTTTTAATTTGTGCCAGCTCCCGCTAATGGGAGCTGGGCTGCGCGGAGCTCCCGGCATGAACAAAGGGGAGAGGGGAAAAGCTGCTGGGATGAGCAGCCTCCACCTCCCTTCTGGTGAGGAGCAGCAGCTCCCAGAGCAGATGGAGCAGGGCTGGAATGGGCACGGCCAGAGAGGAAGGATTGTCCCATGTCCCTGTGCCAAGGGCCCCCGGGAGCAGCAGGATGGACACACGGCCAGCTCGACCCCCAGCACAGGGAAGAGGCTTTTGGGACTCAGAGAATTTGGATGGACCTCCCTGCACCTGCCAGCAGGAATTTGGCTCAGCCACATAGTTATATTTGAAAAAAAAAAAAAAAAATTTAAAAAAAAAAAAAGGGAAAAAGAAAGACCAGCAGTGATGTCTTTTTGGTAGGCTGGTAAAAACACTTGGCTGGTATGGACCATATCGTGGCCTGATGAGGATATCCCACCGGCTCTGAGGAAAACCCAGAGGGCAGGACAAACACTATGCTGCATAAAGATAAAGCAAGTCTCCTGGAATCATCAAAATCTCATGGAGAAAAGGCCCAAATGTGGGGATGTTTTCACAACAGTCATTACAGCTCACACCGATAAAGCAAATTCTAGCTGAGCTCTAAAGCCAATCTGCAGCAGTGCAGAAAGCAAAGTGAAAGAGGAATGAGAGCATTTCCAAGTTTCCAAGGAGCTGGCAGCCCAGCCTGGACTTCATCATGCTGTAACCAGGAATGTTGATTGGAGATTAAAATGTGGAGATACCCCAGGCTGCTGTTTTAAAGGTTCCTTACACCCAAATCACGGTTTGCTGTATTGTCTTGGTTAGGGTGATTATCATTATTATTATTATATTCTACTTTCCAAAAGACTGTGCTGTTCCCAGCATAAGGGCAGCCTTTCACAACTCCTAAGTCAGGAGATTTGAAGATCCAGAATTCCCTGAGTAACTGGCGGATGTGGTGGACCAACACAAATGAACGTGATGGATTCACTGTGCTAAGAAAATGGAGATAAAAGGGGAAAGGAGAAAAGCTCTTCCCTGGTCAAGAAGCCAAAGGACAAGTGACAGAGCACCCTGACACATCAAAGGAACACATCAAAGGCAGGGGTGGTGCCACGTGCTGGTTCCTGTGCCCATGGCAGCCTCAGCTCATGCCAGGAAAGCACCGTGTGCACGGAGCATCCCAGTAAACGTGTGGAAACACCTGGAATAAGAATAGGAAAAGACCAGAAACAAACTCAGGGGATTGAGCTGCCTCCCATACCAGCACTCAGGTGTGTCCCTCAGCAGCTTTCCCCAGAGAAAGTCTGTGGTTTGAATTTGTTTTTTCACTGTGCAGCATTTTCAATAACCTCTCCTAAAGGGGAGTTTTCCAGCAGTGTCTCTCCACCAAAGCTGTTGGTCACCCACTGATTTGAAACACTCCAAAGCTTTGTGCTCCTGGCACCAGCTGGGGATGAGATGGAGGGAGAACTGCAGGTCTGGGTGCAAAAAAAGACTCTGGTCAGTCAGAACCGGGCTCAAGCAGCACAACCAGCAGTGATATTTCTCCAGAACACAGACATAATTTGGAACAAAGGGACGCACTCACCACATTGAGCTCAATCCCAAAATACACACCAAGGTCTCAGTCCAAGGCAGCACAGCCACCGTGAGCCAGATCCATCATGAATAACCAGTTTCTCCTTAAAAAAGCACACCCCAGTGACCAAAGCCAGGGTGGAGAATTACTGTTAGAACCAGTACAAACTCTTGGACGTGATTTAAAGCCATTTTTCAGCCTAGAAAATTCCAGCTTGCTCTTCCCTGTGTTTCACTGCAGCACCAGCCTCTTGTCTGCACTGTGGCTGCAGCCAGGGCCAGGAGGTGCCAGCTACTACAAAAGATTGCTCTCGTGCTGTTCCTGGTTTGATCCAAAACAAAACACGCTGGAAATTTTGGAAGAACATCTGTTCCCATCAAGCATCCAGCCCAAGCCTCCCAGACCTACGAGCTCTGGGTAATTCAGTGGAAAAGCGAGGGAACATCTCAATCAGAGATGCAGGATTTTTGGCAGTGTTTGCTGCTCTTTGCTGTGTACACAGAAAGCCTCTCCTTTGTGCACACAAGCAGCTCAGTTCAGGGCCTTTCAGGGAGAGGAAAAAAGAGCTGCCTTTCCCATACACATTTTTCCCTAAGAAACACAAACGTGAAGGATACGTTCAGCAATTTTGAGAATGCTCACGCTGATTTTAATTGATTAATGGGCTTGCTTGGAGGCGGGGTGGGGGGGGGAATAGGATTGTTACTTATTTCAGTCCAAAAGAGCATCCAGAGCATCTCCCAGGCCAAGAGCTGCCACAAGGCTTCACGTGACAGGATCTTGCCCAGACTGCATCGGGTTCAGGAGATAACAAACCCCTTCTGTGGCTGTCTGTGCCTTCAGGCAGGGCATGACTTGGAGCAAGCCCACCCACAACAAGCAGCAGGTCTGTGAGGAGCAGCCCAGCCACGGGGCCGTGTGATACCTCCCCCTTCCAGGGGGTTTGGAAAGCCAAGCATCCTCCAGCTGCACCGGGTTTGGGCTCCTCACCAGCCAGACCAAATCCTACCCATTTGAACCCTCCCCTGTCCCAAGACAGCTGAAGAGTGCAGGGACAGCTTTTCCTGGGATTCCAGAAGTCCCAAACTTCATGAGGTCTGGATATTGCCCCACTGCTGCAGAGACACGGTGCATAAAGCAGTAATTTGTGGTCTTAGCTTAGGGCTGAAATAGATATGACAAACAAAGCAAGGGAAAATCTACTGCAGTTCCCACTCTGGTGTGAAAGCACTGAAAAACACAGAGGATGAAAAACTCCGTGATGGCTGCAGTTCTGATATTTGCCACACTCTGTACAGCCACAATCACAGCCAGGCCCATGCAGGCAGATGGGGAATGAGCAGAGTAAAGCTGCCTCCATCTACCCCGTAGCTGTGTCTGACAAACAGTTTACAACCAGCACCCAAAGATAAACCTAAATTAGGTGACAGTTTACCTCAAAATGCCATAAACCCTCACAGTTTAGGAGAGGGCTGCACCAGCCTTGTCCTTCATCCCCACGAGGCTGGAGCTGGGTCACACTGGGACCAAGAGAAGGGGGAGTGGGTCAGAACCCCCCATTTCCCACACCAAACCTCCTGTGAGGCCCAGCTGGTGGAGCAGGGTGGTCTCCTCTGCTTTCTGCCCATTGCTGTGACCAGGGAGAATGTGATGAGGGGGATTAATCCCAAATAAATCCCACTGGCAGAAAGAGGTGTTCCTGCAACATCCCAATTAGAGAGCGGTGCACACAGCAAAGTCATCTGCTTCACACTCCATATTTTTTCCCAGCAGCAGGAAAAAGGATTTCCTGTCACCTCCTAAATCATCAGAGCTTCTTGCCTGACTGTTTCAAGCACAGCTTTATTATCCCTTACATCATCTTCTGTGGGCACTGTCCTTTTCTTGTAAGAGAATACCAGAGTTTGAAGTTCCATTTGTTAGGGTTTTTTAGTCGGTTTTTGTTTTCTTCATCCACTCCAGTTTTGTTTCATTTCTTTCCTGGTAGGGGAACCAGTGACATTTCAAAGCAGCATATTTGCTGTATGGTCACTCAGAAAAGATTGAGGTCTTGTCTCTGCACTTTCCCTCAGAAAACGCCTCCTGAGCTTGCGGCGCCACAAAAAAGAAAATCTGATTTCACAGCAGCACAAAGACACAAATTACTCCAAAGCAAGGCCGTGCAAAATAAAACCTACCATCAAATCCAAGAGGCTGGAATCAGGAGATCCCATCTCTGATTATCCCCGCTCCCCAACAGAAGCTTTGCCCAGGCTGGAGCTGCCGTGTCACGTCCATTATTTTCTCACACAAACCATTAACCCGAGCAGCATCACCCATGGGGCATCCTGAGCACAAATGCAAAAGGCTTTGACACGGCATGGCTTTAATGCTCACACACAGCAATGGCTGCTCACAACAGGGGTAAGTGCCCAGGTATTGCTCTGGGCTGGAAAAGCACCTCAGAGCAGAGGCACAGAGCTTTTGGTGTTTCCCGTCCACCCCTGCCTGTTCTTGGCACCTCTGAGGCTGAAGGCAGCCCACACTCCCATCTCACAAGCTCCCAAATTTCGGGGCTGGGAGGGTTTCACCACCACTGCTGCTGTGGGAGGGTGGATGCAGCAAGGTCAAGGAGTGGGACAATCGTGCTTTGCTCAGGTTGGAAACAAAAGGAGTAAAACCACGTTTGAGCACGAGCTCGTCTCCACCCAAAGCAAAGCCATATGCAGCCCGGCTCAGGAATGAGAACTATGCAGCCAGAGGTTTCCTCTAGTTATTGTTTTGGGTTTGGGCTGCAGTGGGCAGGGAGGGGAGGAACAAAAACACAGAGGCTGAGGGAAAGGAGCCGAAACCCACAGAGCCACGAGAGCCTCAGCCTGAGCTCGAGCCCCGGTTTCGGGTAAGGCTGCAGGCAGTGATGCTCTGTGCAGGGATTCCCTGGGCCCCGCTGCTCCTGCTGCCCCTGAGCTCAGCTGCACCTGCACAGCAGCTCGTGGCACCCACGGCTGGGTGACACCCAGGGGTGTGTGACACCCACGGCTGGGTGACACCCAGGGGTGTGTGACACCCAGGGCTGTGTGACACCTCTGACTGTGTGACACCCACGGCTGGGTGACACCCACAGCTGTGTGACACCCATGGCTGTGTGACACTCAGGGCTGTGTGACACCCACAGCTGTGTGACATTCATGCCTGTGTGACATCCATGCCTGTGTGACACCCAGGGCTGTGTGACACCCAGACCTGTGTGACATCCATGGCTGTGTGACATCCATGGCTGTGTGATATCCATGGCTGTGTGACATCCATAACTGTGTGACACCCAGGGCTGTGTGACACCCACGGCTGTGTGACATCCATGGTTGTGTGACACCCCTATCTGTGTGACAGCAACAGATATGTGACACTCCCCTCTGTGTGACATCCATGCCTGTGTGACACCAGTGCCTGTGTGACACCCCTGTCTGTGTGACACCTGCATGTGACATCGGTTTGATCTGCACTGACACCCATCAATCTGGCACGTTCACTACGCAGCAGAGCAGACGTGGCGATGTCTAAACAGGAACTGTATGAAAAGACCAAACTGCAGTAGAATTCTTTTCCCTCCAAAGACATGCTCAGGAAGACCCCAGATTTTCAGCTTTCCATTTCAATACAAAAGATGCAACCCGAAGCATGTGGTGTGCTGGGGGAGAGGGGCTATAATTTCTCTTTCCCTCCTGTCCAGATTCAGCCAAACATTGTTTCAGCCCCATTTACAGACATTCTCCACTGCCCTGACTCCTTTCCAGACCTGCTGGGAATGCTGGGCTGTGGAAATTCATGGACATTGACCTCTTAACAAATAAGCTTCATGCAATCTGTGCCTAAAATCAGAGGTAAGGGCTTGCAGTGTTACTGCCCAGCATTCCCTTCCAATATTCCCTGACCGCCCAGCAAGCACAGCAGTACTTCACCAGCTCCCTGTGCTCCTGGTCCCAGCTCCTGCCTTTTTTTGGGGCAAACAGGAGGGATTCAGGAAGCAGTGGTTTTGTAAGCAAGATGATTTTAGCTCAAACTGTCAAGGAGATGGGTATTTTCACTTTCTCCCTGCTCCTGTCCCTACCTTTTGTCCTTCTGTTGGCATGAGCATCAGCCAAGGCAGGGAACTGATCCAGCTGGAAACTGTCTGCTTGTCTTTTCCCTTTCTGCTGGGTTAGTTTTCAGAAGGATCAGATTCCTAATCTGGCAGATCGCTCAAGAGCTGATTTTGGCACCAGAGAGAACACATGACCCAACAGCAGGGACTGAGATCAGCTGAAACCAAGCCTAAACCCACGCCCACAGAGAACACCCATGGCCCACCCTGTGCCCACCCAGGCAAAGATCCTCTGCCTGCTCAGGAGGCTCTTTCCACGCTCCTGTTCTGCTTCCAGAGGGGAACAGGCATTTTTGGGTAATGCTGAGCTGGGACCTCCCCTCTCCACATGCATGTCCCTTGCCACTGCTCTGAAAAGCCCAGGGCTCCACTCCAGCCTTCCAGTGTATCTTCCTTTAAGCAGCACCATGCCACGGGCAGGGATTTCTGTGCCCATGGCCATTTGTGTATTTACCACTGCCATGTGTAAGTTGTGCTTGTGCACACCCTGGGCAGATGCACAAAGCACAGAGCTAAAAAACCCCAAAATATTCTGGTTCCCACAGGCTGAAGGAATGGGCTGTGCTGCTGTGAGCCATTACTACCAAGCACAGGGTGTTTCTATGGCTACACCTTGCCTGGATTTCACTGCTGCTTTCAGTAACACATTCACCCTGTCTGTCTGTCTGTCTGTCTCTCCCTCACACACACAAACCAAACATCCCTTCTCTCCTCACTCAGCACCCCCCTCTCCATCCAAATAACACCTCTGCTCTTCCTCCCACACACAGCTAAAAATTCAGCGTGGCTGTCTCTTGGGACCCAGCAGAAGAGGGGGCAAAGATCCTGATCCAAACTGCCCCCAAATGGCAGCAATTCCACAGCAATCTCCTGATCCTCCAGCCTCATTTACAGCAAAGCTGGACCTGGACACATTTACTGGAGATCTCTCAGGTTCCTTATGGTGGCACAGAACCAAGAACAGGCAGCCCCCTGAGCTGCTCCCAAAAGTCTGGAGAATTGGCCTGCCATAGGGGAATAAATAAGAAAATCTCTCCCAGGAAGGCTCAAATCAAGAGCCACAAGCAGAGGGGGTCAGCAGTGCCCTGGCCCCACGGTGACTCGTTGAAATGAAGATCTGGGCGGGATGTTGGGGGAAATGCTAATGGCTGGGAGCAGCTCATGTCAAGCTGAATAAATCCCCTGCTCTCCCTTCTGAAGCACAATGGCACATGAATGACTAAGCAATTCTGATAACAATTCAATAGACAAATGTCAGCTTGCTTTGATTAAACATTACTTGTGGAGCTGTTTCAGGGCAGTTAAAGACACATCAGTCTGTCTGTCTCACCCCACTCCTCCCAGCCAGGGCAGAGAGACATTTATTTCACAACAACTGCAACTGATTTTTTTTTCCAAAGCAATTGGAAGTCCTGTAACATCTGAACTAAGCCTAGATTTATGCAAGTAGAGCTGGGAAAATAAAAAATAAAAAACCCCACAAAAACAGAATAGCCTCTCTCTGTTTTAAGACCTGAGTTTCACTTCTTTGCTCCATCAGTTATCCCTTAGCACAGTAATAACATGGTCCAGTTTGGAGATACAGGTGGAACAGAGCCATGAATTACCACATTCCCACATATATTCTTGAGTATTTGCAGTACTGAAATAAAACTCCTCTAGCATGGGGCTAGTCCAGAAAAACAGTTCAAGTTTAGGAATGTAGCTGAAACATGCACCAACACTTTCACATGCTGCAGCTCTAACCCATTTTTAATTACTTCTATCTGTGCTGTAGGTCAGCCCTTCACAAAACAACAACCCCTTCCATTTTTGCAGAGCACATTCAGGTGAGCAGCTTTTGCCCTTGTGGAGCTTGTACCTTGCCAAGCCCCCAGAGCCAGGTCTGAGTGCTGGGAGGAACAACCTCACCCTCAGAGCGAGCTGCTCCCCTTGTCTCCAGTCAGTTGTGAAATGAGCTGCTCAGCACTGCATCCGTAATGGGCACTGCAGTGCAGATGGCAAAAGCACAGTCACACCTCTGCTCTGCCTCTGCCAAGAGCCCTGGGTGATGCAGCAGAGCAGCTCCGAGAAGTGAGGAGAGGCTGCTCCTCCTCAGGCATTTTCACCATCCTGTCCATGCAAGAGGCTCTTTGGTGTAGCAATAACACAGAACGATGGCCAGAAGGTCCTGAGTGAAATCCTCTGCACTGCAGGTGTGGGGTTGAGGATTCCACCCTATGGGGATGAGGATTCCACCCTGTGAGGATTCCACCCTGTGGGGATGAGGATTCCACCCTGTGGGGCTGAGGATTCCACCCTGTGGGGCTGAAGATTCCAACCTGTGAGGATGAGGATTCCACCTTATGGAGATGAGGATTCCACCCTTTGGGGATGAGGATTTCACCCTGAGGGGATGAGGATTCCACCCTGTGGGGATGAGGATTCCACCCTTTGGGGCTGAAGATTCCAACCTGTGAGGATGAGGATTCCACCCTGTGGGGCTGAAGATTCCACCCTGTGAGGATGAGGATTCCACCCTGTGGGGCTGAAAATTCTACCCTGTGGGGATGAGAATTCCACCCTGTGAGGATGAGGATTCCACCCTGTGAGGATGAGGATTCCACCCTGTGGGGCTGAAGATTCCACCCTGTGAGGATGAGGATTCCACCCTGTGAGGATGAGGATTCCACACAGTGGGGTTAAGGATTCCACACTGGGATCAGTGCTGGGCTGTGTTTCAGTGATGCTCATTGTCTTGGAGCTGGGGGAACACAAGAATCTCCCCACCCCTCTCCTGCACAGAGCTCTTGGTCACTAAGAAGGAAAATAGACCTTTGCAAACGTCCTCAGTCACCACCAGTCCCAGGGGCCTCATAACTGCCCTTGACCTCAGTCTAGAACAGTGAGTGATAATGTCATTTCTCTAATTTCACTCTCAGCTGAGCCCCTTGGCTGCTTTCCTTTCTCCTGGGCTGGGAAAGAGCCTGTGGAAGGAATCTGCCCTTGTGCAGGGAAAATCTGTGAACTTGGGCTAATTCCTTGAGTTGTGATAATTGGCAGATGCTGCATCCTGCAGGCAGAGGCCTCAGAGGAGACATCCACACCAAGAACCTACAAAAAATCACACGTTTGTATGTGGGCACACACAGAGCAAATAAAGTCAGGAGAGTCCTGCTTGCCCCTGGCTGCAAAGGGCAATTCTCAGCTGATCTTTGCAGCTCCCATTCAAGAGCACAAAGCCACTTGCAAAACCACCAGGTTGGCCCTTGCAGCTTTGCTGTTTTCAGTATTCTTGGAGAGTTCCCTCTGATTTGCTTTATTAGAAAAACCTACTCAAAGGGATTTGTGTGCATGCTCAGCTTGATTTGTGAACTCCAACAGGAGGGGCAGCCAGTAAAATTAATGAGGTTCTGGGCAAATGATTGCCCATGCAGACCCACAGACATAAAGCATTAACTGACTGTCTAATTAACAAAGGCCACGTGCCCGATTAAGCATGCAAACGCTGCTGCTGCTGCACACACATTGACACACATTAATGTCTCAGTGAGGATACATTTGCAAGTGCCTGCTTGGCACGATGATGGAGCACGCAGCCTGCTTCCATAAACACTTGTCAGGATGCAGGATATACGTCCACGAAATAATCTGCTGCCCATTTTCTGTAACGAGCACGAATTCCTTCTGGGAAGCAGCACAGCAGGTCCCCAGGCCCATGCAGGCACTGCCTAAAAGCCACATTCTAGAAGGGGGCAAAGCAAGGACAAAGTGGCCTTGGGAGAAAAGTTTGAACTGCTTTCCAGTGGTTTTGTCATGCAAGTGAAGGGTGATTTCATGTTTCAGTGTCTGCGCTGGGTGATAAGGGGTCAGGGGCACATGGCCCTGTTCCTCACCCTGCTGTGTCCCTATCACACAACACCCTCTAGGTCCTCATCTCCTCCCTGATTAAAGCTCAGGGTTTGTTTGTTTGTTTGTTTTTAAATTAATCACCATAATTTTGTCTTTTAAAGAGAGAAAAACAGTGTAAAACATCCAGCAGAGGAGGCAGAAACAGCAATCTCTAGGAGGGGGTTACAGTACATGATACCTGTTGTCCGTCAGCTCACAAAACTCATTTAGTGCTGCCAGATCACATCATTCTGGGACATGGATATGAGCTGGGGAGGCCAGGAAGGCAAAATTCTGGAAAGCTCCTGGCAATTTCTGGTGCCAGAGGAGAAATTTTTGGAACCAGCTGCTGTCGTGGAGCAGGGTCAGACCAGCAGCCAACCCACAAAGGGAATTCCTGGGAATGCCACAGAGGCCAGGAGTGCAGGGGAGCTATGGAGGCTCCTGCTCTGTGACGGGATTGAATTTCTCCTCCCCTCAGAGCCCTCCTGAATGCCCAGCCCCTGCCCTGTCCCCTCTCTGCTCCCTGCAGCAGGAATTGCACACAGACCCCTGAGCCTTGGCACTTGTTGGGGGCTGCTGGGTTCAGGGGGCTGAAGCTCAGGGTGTCCCTCAAGCCCAGGCTCAGCCCCACTGCCCCTAAATTCTCAGAAATTCCCATTTCTCCGAGGAAGCAGGGAGGCCAAGGGGGCTGTTAGAATAACTGGTTATGCCTGTGATGTGTTTCCTTGCTGCTGGAAGGTTTCCAAAGGCATTTCAGGTGCTGATGAGACCTTCCAGCACATCCATTTAGAGTCTGCACTTTCCCTTCCTTCCTGCATTATTTACCACACAATCCCAAGCTGCTTAAAAGACTGTTTCAAGCTATTTTCTGAATCATCCTTCCCTCCCTTCGCTGCTTCATGTAATAATCTCTCCAAAATCTATTTTGGGAGTGGCATTTTGCAGCAGAGGCTTGTTTTGTTTGCTTTTTTCCCCCCCAACTGTTCTGTTGCGGATGCAGAAAGTTGGTTTGTTATTGGGAAGTTGCTGGCAAGGACAGATCCTCTGTCCTGAGACTTTGCCTCGCTCCACTGTCCTCTCTGGAATGGGGATGTGGAGGCTCAGAATGACAAGAGCAAGGCTGTGCCCATTAATTTGCTCCTGCAGAGCAGTTCCTGGTCATCAGAGCTGCAGGCAAGGGCTTTTTGCAGAGTTCTGTGAGGATGGCAGCTCATACTGATTTCTCAGAGCAAGGTCCCCGATAAAGGTTTGGATTCCTGAATTATTCTGGTGTTGTGCAGAACCTCAGCAGCCTGGTGAAAAGGAGTGTGGACATTGCCAGGAGCTGGGTTACAGAACAAAAATACCACAGGAGGGGGTATATTTTGAGCTGGATGAACTGGAAAAAACTGGAAACTTTTTTTTCCAGAAACAACCAGAAATCTTGAAAAATACCTCAGACCTTATCCTGGAACCATTTTGCATCAGAGAGACTACACTTAAATTTGCTCCCTCAGCTCAGTTTCTCAGCACCCCAACATTCATATTAGATTAATATTTGCAATCCAGCTGCCCTGCTCTTACCCCGAGAACATCTGACTGGGAAGTGACTGCACTTCCACACCACAGGTTCAAAGCCAAAGTGCTGCGCTTGCTTCAGCAGATTTTGGCAAAGCTCAGTGCAGTTCTCAGCTTTGAAGCATAATTGCCCAACTACAGCAGTGACGCTGGTCTCCAAAGGCCAAGAGGAGAGAGGGAGAAAGGAGGGAGGTGGGAGGACAGCTGAGAATTGCACATTTCAGGTGTGGGATGCAGCTATTTCTTTTTGGAGGTCTATTTCTGGAAAACTGGACAGCTAAAACAAGAAAGCAAATCTAAAATGAAAGCTCACACTAGAAAAGCACACACACCCAGACACCATGGCAGGCAAGAGCTGGGGGACCTGTGTAATCACAGCTATAATGATTCTATAATTTCCCATCCAAACATAATTAGTCAAGGTACGTTCTTTGACAGCTAGAGATTTGCAAAATTAGGGTCAAGCGGGTTCATCTTTTTAATTGTTCTCATTTCCCCCCTCTGTGTTGTTTCTTGTCGCTTTACAGGCTCCTCCCTGGGCTATGGGGATTTTTGAAGGAATTTTGAATGAGTTAGAGATGGGACTTCTGAGTTTTTAGATGATGTGGGTTATTTTTCTTATCTTCTATGTAGGCAGGAAGGGTGAGTTCGGCTCACATATTTGCTGCGTGGTTCAGAAGGTCACAAGACCCCTAGTTACAAGACCTTTTAAGGATTTATTGACTAATAAAACTCTGCTAACACGGATATTTACGTTTTTGATCTAATCTTTAAATATTTTGTCTTATGGATTCGTGTTACAGTGTAAGTTTCTTAGTTAATTATGTTGTGACACATGAACCTACAGTTCTTCATTCTAAACTCCTTGTTTACCTTTGTAACTGCTTTTATTTTTTAGAC